CACCGGACTCCCGCAGCCTCTTGGCCCCCCCGGGGCTGCGGGAAGGGGGCTCCGGTCCCCTGGTTCCTGCAACGGGTCCAACCCCCAGCGTGCAGCAAAAGGCAGGGCTCCCGCGCGCCCGCTAGCTGCCTCCGTGTACAGCGCCAAGCACAGCGGGTCCAGGAGCTCGGCTCTGGGGGAGGGGACGGGGCCATGCGATATAAGGGAAGCCTCTCGCCGGAGGCCGAGCTCCCCCCGCTCCCATCTCAGCCCTGCATCCTGGCAGCGAGGGACGGGGCTGGCCAAGCTCCAGGCCCCGCGGCCGTTATCTTGGCCCGCGGCTGATAACGCAGCTGGGACAAGGCGAGAGGCAGCCCCCAGTCAAGGCGACGGCCCCCCCCGGCCCCTATAAGAGGCCGCTCTCGCCGGGGGCCGGCGCGCTCCTCGCAGCCCCGCAGCCATGGTGAGCCTGGTGCTGGGCGCCCTGCTGCTGGCCCTGGCCCTGCTGGCCCTGCGGCGGCTGGCCCGGGACAAGGTGGATGCGGGTCACCGAGCCCCGCCGTGCCTGCCCTCGCTGCCCGTGCTGGGCAGCCTGCTGCAGGTGGCGGGGCACAGCGAGCTGCACACCTGCTTCACCAGCCTGCAGGCCCGCTACGGCTGCCTCTACGCCCTGCGCCTCGGCTCCGAGTACCTGGTGGTGGTCAACAACCACCTGCACGCCCGCGAGGTGCTGTTCAAGAAGGGGAAGGAGTTCGCCGGCCGGCCCCACTCCGTGAGTCCCCCTCGCCCGGAGGGAAAGGCTGCAGCACGAGGCTGGGGTGGGGCGGGGGGAGATGAGCAGCTTGGCCCGGGCCTCAGTTTCCCCAGCTCCGAGGTGACTAGGGGGTGGGGAACCCCTCAGCGTAGCAGGTGCCTGTTCAACACTAGGGCAGCAGAGCTGGAAGGAAGGGGAGGGTGGTTGTGGGCCACCCCCAGGCGCCGGTTAACGCTGCCTCATCGGGGCAGGCGACGTCCGCAGGGGCTGGGCCCGGGTCCTCTTCTCCGGACCACGGCATCCCGCTCCTCGCTCCACAGGTGACCTCGGACCTGATGTCCCGGGGGGGCAAGGACATCGCCTTCGCCAGCTACAGCCCGCTCTGGCGGCTCCAGCGCAAGCTGGTGCACACGGCACTCTCCATGTTCGGGGAGGGGTCCGAGGCCCTGCAGAAGATCGGTGAGTGTTACCCAGGGGCAGAGCCTGCCTCGGTTTCCCCATCTGCTCCCTGCCTTCTCTCAGCTGCTGACGGTCCTCTGAGTAGTAGGAAGGGGCAGATAGATGCAACCCCCCTCCCCACCTCAGCAGAGCCCCTCCCCGTGGGCTCGGCCAGCATCCGTGCCACCTCCCTGCTGGGGCAAGGTGGGGAAACTGAGGCACGGAGCAGGTCCCAGGCTCATCCAAGAGGGAGGTGCCCAGTTTCTGCCCCCACTCACACTGTTTTTACCCAGCACCGGATTATGTTGTTGCGGGGGGGTCACAGCACGGCGCTGGCGAGTCGAGGCCGTGGACACCTGGGTTCTGGAGGGGAGCATGGGCTAGGGGTTAGAGACCCTCTGCCTCTCCCCTTCCTCCTCCCAGCTCAGCCCCTGCGGCAGCCCCGTCCCCGACTCTGGGGCAGGCCACGCTGATCCACGTGTGGGTGCCCCCTGGCAATTCCCCCTCTTCTCCCGGCACCGGAGGGCTCAGCCCACGCAGGGGAAGCACCAACCTCCCCCCCCCCCATGCCTTCCTCCAGTCTGCCGGGAGGCCGAGGGGCTGTGCGAGGTGCTGGCGGCCACGCAGGGGGCACCGCTGGCCATGGCGCCTGAGCTGACCCGCGCCGTGACCAACGTGGTGTGCTCGCTGTGCTTCAACTCCTCCTACCGCCGCGGCGACCCCGAGTTCGAGACCATGCTGCAGTACAGCCAGGGCATCGTGGATACCGTGGGCAAGGAGAGCCTGGTGGACATCTTCCCCTGGCTGCAGGTGAGACAGGCTGGGGTCTCTGGGGCAGGGGGGATGCTGGCAGGGGTGCAACTGGCACTGCCCTTCTTCTCCCCCCGCAGTACTTCCCCAACAAGGGCCTGGCCTGGCTGCGACAGTGCATCAAGGCCCGTGACGAGCTGCTCCAGAAAAAGTTCACCGAGCACAAGGTAGGGGCTCTGGGCACAGACCGCTGCAAAGGCAGCAAAGCCCTGGCAGGAGCTGGGGAAACTGAGGCACAGAGCAGGGAAGGGCATTTGAGCTGGGGTGGGGTCTCAGAGCTGGGGAAACTGAGGCACAGGGCAGAGCCATCGAACTGGCAGATCCCCACCCCCAGCTTCCGAATCACCCAGCTGCGGGGTTTTGCGGGGGCTGCTGCGGCTGCAGCTCCCCTCATGCCCCCACCACCCCCAGAAAGCCTTCTGCAGCGACTCGGTGAGTGACCTGATGGACGCGCTGCTGCGCGCCAAGTTCAACATGGAGAACAACAACAGCCGCCTGGACCCAGGGCTGGAGCTGAGCGACGACCACCTGCTCATGACCGTGGGCGACATCTTCGGGGCCGGCGTGGAGACCACCACCACCGCGCTCAAGTGGGCTGTCATCTACATGCTGCACTACCCCGAGGTGCGACCGCCTGGCTCCCCAGGCCTCTGCACCCCTCGCCCCGTCCTGTCTGGGCCCTGCCCCTGCCCCAGCCATCGCCTCCCTACCTTGCAGTGCTGCTGGACCCCTCAGCCCAGAGCCGGGTCCTGCTGTGCTCAGAGGTGGCCGTGTAGGTTAATGCTGGGAGGGTCCCCAGTGCCTGGCGTGGAGCTGTGCTGCCCTCCTGGCCCGTGGACTTGTTTTGCTTTGCTGGAGGAGACTCTCCTGAGCAGTTTTGGGACTCTGACACGCAACACCCCTGTTTAACCCCGTCCTTGCTGCGCAGGTGCAGCGAAAGATCCAGGAGGAGCTGGACCAGCAGCTCGGGCTGGAGAGACGGCCCCAGCTCAGCGACAGACAGCGCTTGCCCTACCTGGAGGCCACCATCAGCGAGGTCCTGCGCATCCGGCCCGTGGCCCCGCTGCTCATCCCCCACGTGGCCCTGGTGGACTCCAGGTGAGCGGTGGCCCTGGCTCTGGGCAGGGTGCGGGGGGAGACGGTAGAGGGGGGCACTCACCTCTCCTTCTGTGCGGCAGCATCGGGGACTACATCATCCCCAAGGGCGCCCACGTCATCGTCAACATCTGGGCCATCCACCACGACGAGGATGAGTGGGACAAGCCGGAGGAGTTCAACCCAGGTGAGTGTCGCAGACACGCGGGGAGCAGGGCAGCAGCAGGGGCAGCTCCCGGCTGCGACGAGTCGGGCAGGTCTCGGCGGCATTCAGCGCTGGGAAGGGCTGGATGAGCCCCATCGCAGGCGCCTGCTGAGTGGAGGGGACCTGGCTGGGCTCCGGGCCCTGACTGCGCCATCCCCTCCACCCTCAGGACGCTTCCTGGATGAGAGAGGCCAGCGCATTTACTCGCCCACCCCCAGCTACATGCCCTTCGGCTCTGGCGTCCGCGCCTGCCTGGGTGAGGTGCTGGCCAAGATGGAGCTCTTCCTGCTGCTGTCCTGGATCCTGCAGCGCTTCACGCTGGAGCTCCCCCCGCACCACCCGCTGCCCTCGCTGGCGGGCAAGTTTGGCATCGTGCTGCAGGCCACGGGCTTCGACGTCAAGGCCGTGCCGCGGGAGCCCGGGCGGGCTGGGCCATGATGCAGCCCCGGGGGCAGCCGGGGGACATTGGACAGGGCTGAGCATAGCGGATGCATTTGAGGCTTTGGGGTTGCTTGATGTCGGTGCTGTTTGCCTGCTATAAAGCGACTGATGAAAGGACGAGGTCTCGAGTCGTTCATGGGCGGGGGCACAGAGGTGGGGGCTGTGTGCCTGAGCAGGGCCAGTCTGCAGGGGTGGTGCCAGCCCACTGGCTGCACCCTGGTTTCTTTGTCCCGTGCGTCTCCAGCAAGACGCGGCCCCAGCGCCGGGTCCCCTGAGGACAGGGACGGGCGGCAGCTTCCATGTTGCTGCAGCGGCAGAAAGGAGCAGGGTGAAGCGAGCTGGGAGGGGCCCGACTCACCTGGACATGCTGTGCTCTTGCTGGCCACAACTTACCTGGGCAAAATGTGTACGCCTAGGTAGGCTGACAGGCCCAAGCTGCACCCCGCACTTCTGCAGGTGCCAGAAGCCCCCGTGCCCTTGTGACTCCACATGGGGCAGGGATGAGGCGCGTGGTGGAGGGGCCCGCACTGCAGAGACCCAAACACAGCCTGGCTCTGCCACTGATGGCACCTTCATCCTCAGGCACTTCCCCTAGTCTCCTTGGGCAGCAAGCAGCTCCCTGCACCCCCACTATTACCACATCCCCCCGATGCTGATCTTGCCCCCTGCAATACCGGGAGATCTGGGGGCATCCCATGATTCTTGATGCTGCAGGGAGCAAAGCCGCTTGCTGACACTGTCCCAGGGTGGTGGGGCATGCACGGAGCTGTACTGCCGCACCATGCGATCCCAGGCCCCCCACAGCCTGTGAGCACACGTTCTCGGGGAGCGGGCCCTTGCACACCCCTGGGGTGGATGAGCCGCCGGAGCCACTGCCCTTGGTGATATCTGAGCACCCCAGGTGTGCGGTAGTGCATCTGTGAGTGTGTGCATGTCTGTGTGTGTGAGCATGTTAGTGTGTCTGTGTGAGCATGTGTTAGCGTGTCTGTTCAAAAGTGTGTGGGTGTGTTAGCATGCCTGTGCATCTGTGCAAGCATGTATTTGCATGGCTGTGTCAGCGTGCTTGTGTGTCTGCGAGTATGTTAGCGTGTCTGTGCATTTGTGCATGTGATAGTTTCATAGTTTCATAGATTTAGGGTCAGAAGGGACCTAGTAGATCTTCTAGCCCGACCCCCCGCCAGGGCGGGAGAACAACAAAAAACCCCAAAAAGAGAAATGGGACTCAAATGAGTCCAGCCAGGTAGGCATCCAGCCTCTTCTTAAAGACCCCCAGGGTAGGGGCCAGCACCACTTCCCTTGGAAGTTGGTTCCAGCTCCTAGCCGCCCTAACTGTGAAGTAGTTTTTGCGGATGTCCAATCTATACCTCCTCTCCATCAACTTGTGCCCATTACTCCTTGTTATGCCAGCGGGCGCTAGGGGAAACAGCGTCTCCCCCAAACCCTTCTGGTCCCCCCTAGTGAGTTTATAGACGGTCACCAGGTCCCCCCTCAGCCTTCTCTTGTGGAGGCTGAATAGGTTCAGGTCCCGCAGTCTCTCACTGTAGGGTCTGCCCTGTTGTCCCCGGATCATGCGGGTGGCCCTCCTCTGGACCCTCTCCATGTTGTCCACATCCCTCTTGAAATGGGGCGCACAGAACTGGACACAATACTCCAGCTGTGGCCTGACCAGCGTCGCGTAGAGGGGGAGGATCACCTCCTTGGCTCTACTCGAGATGCACCTGTGGATGCATGACAAGGTCCGGTTAGCCCTGCCAACCATGACCTCGCATTGTCGGCCCATGTTCATCTTGGAGTCAATAATGACTCCAAGATCTCTTTCTGCCTCCGTGCTCTCGAGTAGGGAGTTCCCCATTGTGTAAGTGTGCTGCTGGTTCCTACTGCCCAAGTGCAGCACCCTGCACTTGTCCGTATTGAAACGCATCCTGTTCCTGTTAGCCCACCCCTGTAACCTATCCAGATCCCTCTGCAATCTCTCCCTCCCTGCTAGCGTGCTCACCTCCCCCCAAATTTTGGTGTCATCAGCGAATTTAAACAGGTTACTTTCCACCCCATCATCCAGATCGCTGATGAAGAAATTGAACAGCGCAGGCCCCAGGACCGAGCCCTGGGGGACTCCGCTACCCACCTCCCCCCAGGTCGAGTATGACCCATCCACCACCACCCTCTGAGTGCGATAGTGTGCCTGCCTGTGAGCACATGCCTGTACGAGCATGTGGTAGCATGCCTGTATGTCTGTGAGCATGTATGTGTGTGAAAGTGTTAGCATGTCCATATGTCTGTGTTACCACGTGTCTGTTAGTGTGCCTGCGTGTGTCAGCACGTCCCTGCAGCCCTCACAGCCGCGTCTCTGGGGTCGAAGTACCCTTGGAGCCAGCGACTTGCCGGAGAGGCAGCGGCAGAGCAGGCAACTGAGCCCACGGCTGGCGTCCTGTTGGCCAGGCCACCCTCCTCCCCTTGCTTGTGACCCTGAGTGTGATCTCCCCT